CGATATTTTTCCCGTCTAATTTTTCATAAAAATTTACACACAACCGCTGGGAAATCGGGCGGCTACCCCCCCGAAAAAACCCCCCCCCCCCCCCCCCCCCCCCCCCCGGGTAGTCAGGTATGACAGTGTTTGAAGTGATACTGTGAAATTCATAGTATTGCTGTGCTATGAAAGTCATAACATTACTATGAAATTCAACGTATTACTGTGATACTGTGAAACTATGAAGGTCATACTATGATACTGCGAAAACGTGAAAGTGTGTTTGTGTGCTATTGTTATGATAGGTCGGTCCTATGAATTCATGTTTATACTATAGACCTTCACTGTATCAATTGACAGCTATGAAAACCTACCTATAGCTTTACTACTCTTTCTCTTGTTTTACTAACGAGACAGTACCATCCGTACATGACAAAAAAACTTTTTATCTAATGTATGTCTTTCGAGTAATATCAAGTTGAAATTATTGCATATGTACCTTTGACAGTATCATCCTATCCAATGTCTATTTCTTGAACTGCTCCGACTTCATCACTTTGAAACAATAATTTGAAGGTCATTTCGACTTTGATGGTGGAATAGATGAACAAAATCTGTATTTTGTTGATCAATAGGTTGAAGACTACTGCTTAATAAAATATTGGAACTATTGTTTATACTATTTTCACTTTTGTATCTACATAATTTTAAAAGCATACTTATTTCACTTTGATTTAAAGTCTTTGTTTTTTTCTTTGTAGACATTTAATACGAATATTTAGTTTAATTCTTTTACCTCTGCCATCATTATCTCAATCAATTAGGAAAATGACTAGTCTATCATCATTCTTTAATCCCATATTACAAACATATTTTAATCCACGTGTTACACCGTGGGTGAAAGATCCAGTTGGTGAGTTTTTTTGTGAATAATCAAAGTTTTCTTCTGAACTAATCTCAGTAGTATATTTTCATTTAGGTTTACATCATCCTCTTGTTTTTCAGTTTGAAAAACAGTTTTTTGACAAAAACTATGCTCATTCTATTCGTGATTGGATGTATACATATTGGTGGTTAAGTATTGTCTATTCTGTAGCTTATATATTTTTAATTTTTTATGGACGTTCATTAATGGAAAAACGTGAAAAATATGATTTACGTATTTTGTTAATACTTTGGAATTGTTCATTAGCTATATTCAGTATATGGGGTATGATTCGATGTGTACCAGAAATGCTTTATTCAATTAATAAACTAGGCATCTATTATTCAATTTGTGATCATTCAAATATATATGGAATTACTGGATATTGGATTTGGATATTTAGTGTTTCAAAAGTGCCAGAATTAATTGATACATTATTTATTATCTTACGGAAACAAAAACTAATATTTTTACATTGGTTTCATCATTCGACAGTACTTATTTACACATGGTATAGGTAAGACTACAAAATATTATTAGTTTATTAAAAAAAAAATGTTAATTATATATATTTTTATTTTAGTTATCATAATTGGACATCGAGTGGAAGATGGTTTGTATTTATGAATTATTCTGTTCATGGTTTAATGTATTCATATTATGCTTTTCGTGCTATGCGTTTTAATATTCCAAAATTTGTACAACAAATTGTTACAATATTTCAATTATCTCAAATGTTCATTGGTTGTTATGTGAACTATAAAGCATATGAATATAAAGGAGAAAATCGTCCATGCAAAGTTGCCTATTCAAATATATACGTCTCATTTGCTATGTATTTTGCTTATTTTCTTTTATTTGCTCATTTTTTTTATGTTTCCTATCTGAAGAGAATGCCAACAACAACAAAATCAAAAAAAGACACATTAGTTGAGAACGAACAACGATCCGGCCATTCTGGATCATCGTCGGTATCAACCAAAAATTTGGAAACAAAATCGACGTCAAATGAACGTAAAAAAATGAAATAGATTTAAACGTCTTTTATCTAGAGGATTACTACAATTATTGTTGTCTCGTTTGTTTTTTAAAATAAAATTTTGTCTCTCACTCGTTTTGTTAACCTCCAACTATTTTCTATTATATATGTTTTCTAAATCTCACATTTTCCAAGTAGGTAAAATTTTTATATTTCTCAAGTTGTGTGTGTGTGTGTACGTTCAGCCTTTCGTAACCTGCGCATAAAGTATTGATGTCCGATAAATTTTAAAACGCAGAAAGAATTTGCATATTAAACGAAAGAAATTGTAGAACACTATGCCATGCTTACTTGGTTTTTTTAACTTTTTCTCATTTGTCTTGTGTTTGTTCTACTCATTCTTTTATCATTCCAAGACTACATGATAATTTTTCTGCAATATGGCATCTGATTGCACAAATCTTTTTTGTATTGTGTTCGTTTTTTTGTTATAATGGTTACTGGCTAATTTTTATTGTCACAAAAAATTTTAATATGAAAAACATATGCACTACATGTATAAAATATAATAGTATAAAAGGAGACTTGATTATTAATAATAATAATAATTAATCCTTAAAATGTTTGAACATGCAAAATCTTAAGAACAATAAAGAGACAAGTAGTAGTTTTCGACGCTGATTCCAAACATCACATTATTTTCGCTTTAAAATGCAGTTTTGATGCCAAAAACGTCCAAAAACTGTAACAACGATGTCGGTCGGCCATCTTGGTTCCCAATATTGGTCACTCTTCAGGGATTCTAAAACAAAGTTCTTTGGCTCGGTTTGTGGTAAATTGAATTCTCTACAAGTTGATATCTGCAAACTGTCTCTTCTGATCACAGAAATAACATGCCTTTGATCCTGGTTGATAAAATTTCCAAAAAAAACATGCAAAAGATCTTGGTTACGAAAACTAATTTTATGGTAAAAACATGGAAAAGATCATGGGAAAAAACGTATAATATATCTTTCTTCATCTATATGACTAGAAAACATGGTTTAGATCTCGAAAATTGTACATATCGTACAATGATTTAGAGACTAGTTGGAATTGGGAGTGTAGTCAGTTTGGAAAGAATATCAACATATTTACTAACAAAAAAATGTACATGTTATACAATACCGTCATCAAGGAAACATATCACATCATCTGACAATCTATGTACTTCTTTATATTAGTATACACATTTTTGCTAAACGTTATGCTGTAATACTGGAATATCTCGCCAAAACTGGTTAATAATTTTTCCAATTGATGCGAAAGACAATGTCTCATTAGCTTTACCAAAAGATTAGTAACACAAGTTCCAGTCTTTCTCTGTCTATTTTGATCAGTTTTTGTTAAATACATGAAGCTGAATATTTGTTGAAAAACTAGTATAAACTGGATGGAGAATAAGGATAGTTTATGTACCCAAAAGTATCACGAGATCTAAAGTATGTTTATCTTAGCATAAGCTTAATGTAAGCTCATGTTTTTCTCATGATCTAATCAATGATTTCGCCTTAAAAAGATTTCGTTCTCGTAACCGAGATCTTTTACCTGATTTTTCTTAAAAATTTATCAACCGGGATCGAAAGAATGTTTTATCTGTGATCTTTTAAATTTACGTCCGCGATAACACAGCAGGCATGCCTTTTGTTGCAAATATTTATGATGGTTAATAGGTCACAACACAGTCAATTTGATTATTAAATGGAACACACAAGTCATTGTATCTTATTTGCTTGACTGTATTCTATAACTATGTATTATTCGATCATTTTGAATACGTCAAAAAACCTTTTTAATCAAGATGAGTAGTATACAATTGATTTTGAAAAAATTTTTATATGAATCGATATTTAATCAATTATCCCCGGGAGATATCGTGAAATCGCTATAAAAAGATGACGATGATCAAAAAACGGAATTTTGATTTTTTTTATTTCAAGTTCGTTTTTTGCAACATCAGTTGCTGGGGGTAAAGAGTTAAGATCTACATTTATCTACCTGCGAAATAGTATTTTTTTGTTATAAATTAGCTTTCTGATATAATGCAAAGATGATAACTACTACAAAGATTTCAAACGCTAAATCAGTATTAGTCCAATTTATTCGATCATTATAAATCGTTATCTTCTAAAAAGAGTGTAGCTAGATATTCTTAGTTTTTATGCTTCGAAAGACACAGATGTCTGTTAAAAAACGTACATCTTTTTGTCTAAAATAGAATGTTGAGCTTTTTCCATTTAATAGACTATCTGTAATATGTGATTTTCAACGTTTCCATCTTGTTTCTCTTTCTATCATTCTTACGATATCGTCTAAATAGACAATCTACGATGAATAATGTCTCATCCAACTATGTGATCTTGAGCGTGAAAAAAATAATTGATTTTTTGTATTCGGTTTGTTTGATTAATTAACAAAATAGACAGTTTTTAAAACAGATGACTATATAAATCTGATCTATGAAGATGAGCGAATAACAAAAGGCAAATATCAATAGTTATTTTTAACACTTACTCATGTTATCATTTCTGATTATTGTCATTTTATTTATTGTAAAAATTTCTTCTAATTTGCTTGATGAGGATGGTAAGATGAATAAATAACATAAGTCAAAAACTAGCAAAAATACTCTGAATAAGATCGTTTTAAATTTAGAAGCCCTTCTCTTTTGCAAAACAGCACCACCTAAATTGCATAATGGGTTTGTAAAACGTGATCGAGTATCATTTTATAGAAATCAAGGGTGGTTAGGTGATATAGAATTTGAGTGTGTGCGTGGTTTCGAACTAGTTGGCAATAAGACGATTCGATGCCGAAACGGTTCGTGGTCTCAACAAATGCCCGTTTGCATTGGTAAGTTGTTCAACACAACAGTATCGGATTTCCCAATTTTAGAGACTTTTTAACTTTACAATTCTACATAAATGCCAGAATTTTGAAATTTTCCGAACTGCGATAAACTTCCAGTAAAACTTTCAGCAAAGCACAGTCAGAAATTCCAGAACAAGCTCGTCAGCAAGTTGGAAGTTTTCTGAAAATTCATTCAGTCTTTATTTAAACAGTAGAAACATTCCTGAGAATTGCCAGGATGAAATTCCCACTGAAAATGCCTAAGAAAATGTTTGACAATGTTTGACTTTATTCCGAGCTTTCTTTTCGAAAACTATATCCAATACAGAGTACAGGATACGCTTAGTATTAATAGTACTGTTCCTAACAAAATAGAAAAGCGAACGGATATTTTTGTACTAACGTTTGAACGAAATGACCTAGGGATTTCCACCAGTGCATAGCCAAGACCTGACCACATGATTCTATGAAAAGTTAAGGCGAACATACGATTTGGAGATCGTGTACTTGACAAGTCTTTGAAAGAGTAGATTGCCACGGTCAATGTACCATACGTCTGAAATATGCAAACGATAGCCCATGGCATCCTCGACGAATCCACCAAAGAAGGAAGTCTCCATCGGTTCTTCAAGCTTCAGGTAGTCTCAGTAAAATTCGACATCTGGCTTAACCAAAACCGATGAAGACTTCCTTCTTTGGTGGATTCGTCGAGGATACCATGGGCTATCGTTTGTATT